AATCAGTCTTAAACTTTAGTAACCCATTACATATGCCATATGGTACTTTTAATATTTATTATTGGTGAATTTGAACTGACACTGAATTATGTACCTAATATGGTTAGAGCGTATTTGTGTAGAACATCTATATTATTTGATGATTGTTGAAAAAAGTGTTGGAACTGTAAATAAATACCTAACTACAGTTAAAACAAAGAGATGAATCCGAGTAAAAGATATTCTTATAGAAATTAACACAAAATCTATGTGATAAGAATAAACAGTAAGATTATAATGAATGTACAAACATAAAAAATCAACAATGACATTGAATTACATGCAGAATACCCATATTGTTCTAGGGATAAGATTATTCAAATCTTTAGAGACGCTGCATCTGGAAAAGTTGATATATTTTACCCAAAAAGAACGGACCTAACGCAACAATCACGATAACATTTGGGCAGCATGTAGGTATATATGTATTTTTAACAACAACCGCAGCAAGGGCATTGAAGATTAACAATTCCAAAAACTACGATTCAGATAGAGGGAATCATTCCATCACATAAGTAGGATAATAGACTCCAGATGAACATATAAATATTAAATACCCACCGAATCTACAGTCATATAAGATCGTGACAATGAGAATGAGTTAATACCCAATGTTAAAGATTAACGACAAAACCGGACAGGTTTCGTTGGGGGTGATAACAAGATAAATGAATAAAGTGATAATCCCTAAGTGGTCAAACCATAGACGTACATATTAGTAGCTAAGGGTAAGACTTACGGTGTTATCGCGGCTTTCGGTTCAAACTGTTGCTCGGCCGTGATCCGACGACGTCTGATCGCTGTCGGGTGTCCGACACTTTAAAACTGTTCGGCTGGAGCGCATCGTGATCACTAGACGTCGACCCGAAAATAAAAAAACCCGAGGATAACCAGTAACGCGCAAATAAACGTATTTGTTGTGTTCTTTCCACTTTTCGCACGGCTTCGAACGCACGACACCACCGCCGGTTGAACGTCAACACGGAATCAATGGTAGTCGACACTCGACGGTAGAAATCCCCGTTGGCCAGGAGCAGCGCCCGACTCTCGGTGATTCGTCGTGTCCCGCCGCCGGCGATCGGGACCGTTGGTGGACCGCAGCGACATCTATCGAAGCGGCCACGCACCCACTAAAGCTCAGTGTGACCATCACGGCGTGTTTGTTTTCGTTATGACAATAATAATTGATAAGTTATAAACCGTGATCGAATGATCTGCCTTTTCGCCACTATTTAAGATACCTGGTACTGTCTTAAATCGTACTTTTCGCCCTTATGTCTTAGGTAATTATGTAATAATTGCACTTTTACAATAAATATAAATACTAAATTATTAATTAGTAGTTTAGAATGAAAGTTTAGTCACTCGACACTCAGAATAAAATAAAGATACCTAACTGTGGCTCGGATGCTCAAGTTCTACTAAAGTCCGAATTGTGATTAGCACTGGTATCTTACCAGGTATAAAGTAACAATTTTAAACTATTAGAAAATCTAGAACATAAATAGAAATAGTCAGAACAAATGCACTTTACCAACCCCCTCACGATTTTTAATTTTATTTTTTTATGCTTAAAACAATGCTGCAAAATTTTTTTAAAGGAAACTATTATTTTAGAAGTTATAGCCTTCAAAAGTTTGCGATTTTACGTTAATACGCATGAGTGCAATACTAGATACTTTACTGCAACACGTATGCATTTTTTTCTTGTTTTTGAGTATTTTAACCATAGACACATAATATTACATATATTTTTATAGATCTTTATATCAGTACCGCTATTTTATAACTACTATAGATTCTAAAGTGTATCAACAGAAGTTACCATTGTCCATCTATGAATGAAGCCTATTATACTTGCATAATAGTACATCAATTGATTTATTTTAAAATAAATGGCTAGGATGTAATTATGACCTTTCAATATACATTTTGAACGATAGAGATAAAGATGTGTATATTATAATAATGCAAAATAAAATTGAATATGAATATAAAATAAATAAAATCGAATATATTTAATGAACAAACATAATAATATAATAAATAAATGAAACATAAAAAACTTGCAAATCTGAAATCATATTACTTGACGGTACATAAAATATACCAACAAAAACACTTAGCCGAACTACGTGTAAAAAATTGCCAAGTCAAAAAACCGAGGCATTTATTAGACTAACATTATAAAGTTGTGATACCTATGACCTATCATGAATAAATGCTTAGTAAATTTAATTTAAAATAAATTCATTCTATCACAATAATTTATATACTTAGCGAGGATTTATTTTATTTATAAATTAATGATTAAGTTCTTTTTACAAAACAGTTACGACCGGACATGGACATGTTCATTTGCCAAAATAAATTATCTTAGAGTAAATAAATTATTGAGATAGAATAAATTTATTTTAAATTTAATTCACTTAGCATTTATTCATGATATCACATCTTTATAACTAACTGACTGGTTTTTTGGACTTACCAATTTTTTACTCTGAGTTCGGAGAAGTTTATTTGTTGGGATTACGATATAATATTTTTAGCCTTGACGTAAACTCAAATCATGATCACAATGTGTTATGATATAGGCAACTTAACATACGGTTATTTGTATTTAGAAAATAAGACAATTTTTCTCAAAGTTCTCTTGAAATTATGAAAGTTTTTGGTCTAGAACTATAGCCCAAGTGGTTGCTTCGCTTTCCATTTAACCGCCATAACATATATTTAAACATTTTATGGATGTGTATAAAGTATAAGTATACTGTATAATTTGAAACATTCTTAAATACATGTTTCCTACAAAAGATATAAATATTGAATTCTGGGTGACTGGGTATCTGTATCTGCATAGTCGTCAGGACTCAGGACACAGTGACATACACCATGGCTCAATTTATTTATTATGTAGTCACATCAAACGAGTATTTAATTCTTGTTGGAAAAAACTAAATCCCTGTGTTAATTCATATTTACAGTGCTAATTTTAAACTCTGAACGGAGCGATGAATGTGTATTGATTTTACAATGATGTACAGCAAAGTGGTACTCATTAGTCATTATTGTCTACATTTTTTTTACTTATAATTTTATTCCTATCTTTTAATCTCTTGGTGAATCGATGTTCCAAATTATTAGTATTCCTATAATTAATACAATTGTTCTAACCAATGTTTATCTAGCGCGACGGTAGTGGCATGAAGCTCAGTAAAAAAAAAAACGGAGTAAAAATAGCGAAATAGCCACTAACGTATAATAACAGGACACCGAGTTTTAACATTAAAAAATCGTCCTAATTTATGTCAATTCTTTGCCAATATCTACAGGGCAAACGGCTGAACATATAAAATAGTATGAGGTATCAATCGATCAGAAATATTGTGCAGGTGGGAACAGAAGAATTCGCTAGCAGATTGGTTTGATAGTTTGTAAGTTATAAGCAAAAATGTTCAAGTACTTTTAAGACCGATTTTGCGTACGGAAGAGTGGGATAAGATGAGTCAATGTACAACGACGATGCACGGACGATATCATTACTCCATAGTCCATGGTGACAGCTGACAATATTGCAAAAACAAACAACAAACCATTTCGTAACTTGCAGTTTGCACTCGATTGTTCGCGACGTGTTGTATACATCAATTATTAAACACAATAAGAAATGGATTAGATGCAATGATATGTCAATAAGTATTGAAAGCTGCCCTCGAGGTGGAAAAGATGTCTACATTATAATTATGGAAAAAAAAATTAGTCAGGAGACAAGCGGTTATTAAAGATTATTATTTATTATTATTAAATTATTATTATTATTATTATTAGTGTTATTATAATTAAATTATTATTGTAATTATTATAGAATACAAGATAATTAACAAATCAGCATTAAAAATAGTTGATATCACACCAAAAACACTTTGTTATAACTCTGTGAAAAAAAAGCTAAGTTAAAAAAAATAAAAAATTAATAATGATTAAAGCTTTAAAAGTCGTGATATAATATGGAAATTAAGTAAAATGACATTTTATAATAGGTATAACAAATACCTATGATGACAAATAAGATCAATTGTAATGTTAAATACTTAGTCAACATATTATGTTTAACTATTTGGCAGGACGTAGAAGTATACTTAAATAAATACAATTAAGATACCTCTACAGTATTTAGTATTTACAGTAATTAATAATGTATCAACAATATGTTGACTAAGTATTTAACATTACAATTGATCTTATTTGTCATCATAGGTATTTGTTATATTATAAAATGTCATTTTACTTAATCTCCATATTATATCACGTCTTTTAAAGCTTTAATCATTATTAATTTTTTTTTTTTAACTTAGCTCTTTTTTACACGGAGTTATAACGAAGTGTTTTTGGTGTAATTCTAAGTAACAGTTATTTCAATCATAATTTGTTTCTAATTTGTAAAATATATTGCGTGATAACAATGTATTGGTACAAAATGTAATTTGGTATAAGCTAACATTGTGATTTGGAATAAATATAGTTGGGAGTAATGGGTCTTAGAAAAAAAATATATTGAAAGTATTCAGTATTGGCATTTGGCACAGTATATGGCAAAAAGTAAAATGTACAACTAATGGCCATTCAAAAAAATAGTGACATAAATAAATCTTAGAACAATTGGTCGTTGGAACAAATATATTTTCTTGGAATAAATTGACTATGGGACAACTATTTTCCGGAAAAAAAGGTAACTATCTTAATAGTTAAAATTCATTTGTACATGTTATATTTATAATATCATTTATGTTATGTTGAATTATGGTTTATTGATATTTGAACGAAATTTAATAAGTGTACATTTAAATTTAGTAAAAATCTCCATTATAACTTTCATAAAAATCGGTCTTTTAATGCTACTATGCTAGCGTATTCTGGTGAGAAATTCTGAACTACAAAAATATAACTTTTGGAGAGATACGAGAGCGGCTTCTCCTTATCTAATATCATCTTTACATCGTGGGTGCTAAAGGCTATAACATATTAACATTGAACAATTTACTGGCCCGCAGCCCGCAGGCCACAGTAAGTGTCCTCAACTGATCCGTAGGTCTGGCTTTTCTGTTTTTTCGAGATGCCTCCTCCGCGATTAGTTATGAGCTTATGCCTCCGTATGCGGGTTGGACAGGTACGTCATTTCCACCGAGTTTCCATTTCCAAACGGCTAGTTTTACTTGCCCCTGACAAATTCACTACTCCAGATCTAAGGCACGTCTTGTCGGCCACAAATCTCACATTCGTTCGACACAGTAGTGGTGATGGTCGTGAACAACCTGAAGTTCTCTCATCGGTCAATCGTGAACTCGTGGATCTGACCGAAGATGTTATACCCGAAGCACCAGAAGTGCCTGTTGAAGCGGCAGTCGAACAAGTTGCAGTAGCCTTGGTATAATTTTTTTATTTGATAAACATATTATGAAGGAACCGTTTTAATAATAATTTAAATGTTGACATCCATGCAGAATGCATTAGGTGAACAAACACTACAAAGTGCAGGACTTGGTTCTTTCACTCCTGTAGGATTATTGCAAAATGCTTTAGAATTTATGCATGTCTCTTGTGGTTTGCCCTGGTGGGGTGCCATTATAGCAGGTGAGAAAATATTATTGTACCTATATATTTTTAAAGATTTTAATACATACAAACACTTTTTACAATGAACTCTTTTAAAATTATGTTAATTTAACAATTTAATTCTTAATAACAAGTACTTACTAAATCAAATGCACATCTAATAATGAAAAGAATTGGGGAAATATTTGATTTATTCATCAATACTTTCTTAAAATAATCTCAAATAAAAGTTGTTTTAAGTTGAATTTGATAACTATTAAAGTGGACCAAAAAATTGTTCATTGTTTAAAAAGGACTAGTTCTGCTTAGTTAATAATAGTATTTATTTTCAACAATTTTTCACATTTATTATAATAGTTGAAACTCTAAATGTCACACATGGAATTGTTACCTACCAATTATATGATAACAAGAAATGTGTCTCTTCTTTCAGGTACTACCATATTGCGTTTATTGGTCTTTCCTTTAGTAGTTACATCTCAACGCCATACTGCAAGAATGAATAATAATATGCCTCAGATTCAAGCATACCAAGAAAAAATGACAGAAGCTCGATTACATGGAAATCCTTATGAAAGTAAATTGTTTATTTATTTTTATTACTGATACTGGTGTAAAAATCTCTTTCAAGTTGTGGATGGTAATCTTATAACTTAATAAGCATTCATCGTGAAAGAGAGAATTTTTAAACAGATAGTCTTATTTAGAACGATTAAAAAATACTAATGACATCCGACATAACATATTATTAAGTTAAGAAATGAAGAAACTTGTAGTTATAATTTACTTATACCAAATAATGCCTTACATTTGAATTACCTTTTTTTCGATAGGTATTTATCATGTAATATGTATACAAAGATACAAATGTCAGTTATTAATACCATAGAACAATATTATTCTATGTTACAACTTAGTATAAAAGCATACTTGTATTTGTGTATAGAAATAACATATTTTAGCTTTTTATTTAGCTTAAATTTTAAGACATTTTTATTTTGTCCCTTCCCCTAAACTCTAAAGTTTTTCTATATGCGTTTGACATGCGTACAGAAATATTATATAATATGGAATTATAGTCATGTTTTAAGGGATAAAAATAATTTAAAATATTATCAAACCATGTGATTATAGGTCGTAATCATAAAAAATAACATTTCTGTGATCAGTTTAGTACAACTTATACATCAGCTAAAATATTTTTTTTTAATTACCATTTAGTAGACTTCTTGAAACTGTCAGTGTCCAGTATTTTTAAACTAATTATTTACTAGGTAATACTTTCAGTTTCTTCTTTTTGAATGGTTTTTTCTGTACAATTAAATATTATTATTATAGAAATTAGTGTTGGGAAGTTATTTAATATTTTCTTGATTTATGAATGAAGGAATAACCTAGACTTGTAAAATATTTTTATTAATGAATTTAGGCCAATAATTGTGAAAATACATGTTATGTTCTTATAATTTATGAAAATGTCAAAATTATTTTTATTAAATTGTATTTTTAATTAAAATATTAAATAATTACATAAAAGGTATTTAAACTACTTTTTTTTTTTAGTGGCAAGAGCTTCACAAGAACTTATGTTATTTATGAAAACGAATCAAGTAAACCCATTGAAGGGTATGATACTACCAGCTATTCAAGTAATTTATATTCTATCCTAAAAATTGATCTTTAAATAATAATATACTTTTTTTGCAGTTTCCTATCTTTTTAAGTATGTTTTTGGGATTACGAGGAATGGCAATGTTACCTTTAGAAAGCTTCAAATATGGCGGTCTTTGGTGGTTCTCCGATATTACATTGCCTGACCAGTATTTCATATTGCCTGTTATTACTGTTATTACTCTTGGCGTGACATTAGAGGTATTGTGTGTGACTACACAAATTGTATGTATTTACATTGATTTATTTTTTTTTCAAACATTTTAGCTTGGAGCAGATATTGGTAAACTTGCTTCCTCTGGTGTAGGATTTGGAAAATATCTTAAATATGGAGTTCGTGTATTACCTCTTGTTGTGTTTCCTTTTATTGTGAATTTCCCATGTGTAAGTATCAATTTAACTAAACATATTTTTTGTCAATTACCGGATATTCTGTTCGTTTTTATTATTTATTAGATAAGTCTCTAACATTTTATATTCTAAATTGTATTCTAATATGATTATACATTTTATATTTACTATTGTTAACACTGGATTAAAATCAAACAATAGATATCATGTGACATATGGTATAGTTTTAAGGAAAACAAATTTAGTATAATTTATCAGCTAATCAGTATTACTTTTATTGTTTTTAGGCAGTATGTTTATACTGGGCGTCAACTAACTTTATTTCACTAGGCCAAGTACTATTTTTGAAAATACCAAGTGTAAGGAATTATTTCAACATTGAAGAAAAGAGGAATGTAGAAAAACCAAAGTCAAAAAAGAAAGGAGTCATTGGAGAGTTTAAAGAGTGTAAGACATTTCACTTTATTTCCTTCATAATATTTATGAAATAATCTTTTGCCATTTTTTTCATAGCCTGGAAAAATATGCAAGTCGTAAAAGAAATTGAAGAAAGGGAACGTTTAGATCATATGAAATTCACACAAGCTGGTCGAGCAGCACCGGTTAAGACGTTTAAATATAATCCAAAAATTGTTGGAGGCATTAAAAAGGATAATTAATACAAATTTTTGTAGTATAGTTAATGTTTGTTTTTATATATAATATACTATTTAATATATAAAATGTATTAATTATAACTATTTATGTATAATATTTACAGTATATACGTTTTATCTTTTAGTACAAAGATACATTTTTAGACTAAAATACTGATTAGTAATAATCTATGCATTTATTCAAGACTATGGACCATAGACACAAATGAGGGAGGCTTTAGGTCCTAAATTTCAATAGCCCCTTCCCCCTAACATTACCAACATTTTTTTTTTTTAAGCATATTCAATATTATATTACGGCTTTAGCCCCCCCTTTCAAATCTCAAGCATAATTTGTGTCTTTGCTGTTGATACATATTCAGTATTATCCAATGCTGAAGCCCCTCTTACTTTCTCGTCTAATTGCTTATTGATGGTGTGCTTAAGACGCATGAGTACCCGATATGATAACCAACCTTTTAAAGTGAGGCTGTGAACACTTAAAGTCTTAACTTTTATAGACAATCCAAAAAATGTACCTATATTGTATTAAGGAATAGTTGGTGTGAATAATACCTGAACTGTATTGATGCTATATTCAACCTAAATTTATTTTCAATAATTATGTATATTTTAATGGTATTAGATATTTGAGAATCACACATACAGCCAAATTTGACATTTACAGTGCTCGATTTATGAATCTATTGTATGTAAATCATTTTGTATATTTATTCGAGTGTACAGGTGACGAGCATTAAAACAAAATGTACACACATAATTCCAGTCTAGAATATTTTTCTAGAATTGAAGAACCCAAACTGTCTTAAAACCAGTAGGCACGTGTTGTTTAGTCTGTAATTTGATTTAAGATGTTTAAGAAATATAATTGTATAGCTTTCATATTGAATATTACACAACCACTTCATACATACTACCAACATAAATAATAGAAATATTACAATTACAGAAGAATGTAAATCCTCCAGGCTCGACTAATTAATATGAAGGATGGTCCAGGTAAGGGATAATTGAAATGTACTAAATTAAGTTACTCGCATGTCTGTATATAAAAGCAAAATCTAACCACTCCCTTACATTATCACAATCCTAAAAGACATGTGATTTGCTTATACATTCATGCAGTGGCCTATTCAGAAGGCTGCCTTCCAATTAAACTGATGGTTATTAACATTGGTGACTGATGTTCATTATTTATGTGTTATAGTATATGCGCATGAGCACCTGGTTTGAACATTTTAGAGATGAATTCACATATTTCAGGTACAACATTTAATTCCACATATTGAGTATTCTATGTAGCTTATTTGTAACCTTTCCAAAATTAGATTTTGTACATATTTCCATGTTACAAATATCATAAGCAGCATTCCTTCGGGGTAATTTTTTATAGGGGACATAACGATTACTTTCCACAATTTGATCATCAAATTATATACTTAAGGAAATAGTTACTTCAATTTAAATAACAATGGACATTCTGGATCTGTGATTCCTCTAATAAAATCTGATAGTTCAAAGAAAAAACTTGATAGACTGGTGGTATTAGTTTTAGTTAATTTTTTATAATAATTGCTAAGACTTATTTACCAAAGATTTTCTTTGAATTAAACTCTCCAACTTAATTGTTACAAGTTATTTCAAACTAATCCTAATCTATTCCTTTTTGTTGTCTAGGCATATTTAAATTTTAATAGAAGCAACAAATTCAATCTAGTATAATGCTAGGTATTAAGCATTAAAAATTGACAAATTTATTAGTTTTATCAACATAGTAATTTAACTGTTTAATGAGTATATAGGTCTAATTATATTTTCTATAAGCAATACAAAAAAAGGATTAAAATTGACAAATGTAATTAATAATTAAAAGTTATGATAAATGTTCATATTTTGGATATGTATTACCATAGTGCAAATTGTTAACAAAAAAAAATTAATTAATTAATTAAAGTTAATGTTTATAAATAGAAAAATTCATACAGAAATACACAACAATTATTTATTCAATCTTTCTTTATGATTGTCATAACATCTTCATCATTCAAAAATAAACGTATAAGATGTCCATCAATGTTATTGTTTTCTAATACTATCATCATGAACTCTGTTTTACTATTACATATTTGTTTCAGTTTATTAAGACTGAAATACTTCTCATCTAGCCCAAGTGAACAACGTAAAGTCAAGTATTGAACATTTTGTAAATGTTTAGGAAGCTCGAACAGTTTTTCTACATTTAGCACACTACTTCCCATATCCACTAACATTACATCCATAAAACCTTTAGACTTATTTTTTAATTCTGCACGGTACCAGTGATTGTTTACCAAAGCTCCATAAATTTTACAATATTTTGGTTTTTCAACAGGATTTAAAGTTTTAATTGTACTTAATTCACTCATTACAGCTTGTCTACTAGGAGAATTTACTTGAACTGTTAATATATTCAAATGAATAATATTAAACACGATGACAGGAATAGGTTTGATTAGTTGGGCCACATTAAAATCATCAACAAAGAGTTCAACTACAGTTGGTTCGCCAGTTTTAACTACAGTTATAGTCATCTTTTTATGTTTATATTGTTCCATTTCATCCTTAAAACTTTTTGATAAACACTCAAACAGCTTTTTATTTTTTTTCAAAGTTGGAATATGCAATGAACACAGTTTAATAAACGGAGGAGCTGATTTTAAATAACCAAACACTTCATAAAATTCTGAACATTTGTCTTGAACTCCATAATCTATGAAATAACAAGTACATTCACCTTCCTCATGTATCATTAAAAGCCTTACTCTGTACCATCTATTGTCAGTTATACTTTTTGCAATAGCTATTTTACCAATTTTATATTCAGTCAACGGTTCCCAAATAGTTTCATTTTCAAGAATATATTCAATTTTATTTTGTATTTTTTTACTATCTTCAGTTTCTACATAGAATTCATTTACTGACTGAGTATAAATGAGATTCACAACCATCTTTGCACCAGAATGATCAATTGCCTTCAAGGTTTCATATGTCTTTGGAGTAATTCCGTATGAAATAATGTTATTTACTAATGTTTTTATACATCTATCATCCCACCTCATATTCACCAAATAGGTTTCTTCGTTGTTTAAAAAAGTTACAATTACTTCAACAGATCCTAAAAAGTCAAAAATTAAATCATATATATCATTTACAGTTGAAATTACATATTCTTCATGGTCCACATCATCAAGCATGCAATGATACGCCATTGCATGGTAACAAGCTAATTTTTCAGGTAACATTTTAAGATTTGTTGACAACTCTGAATTTCCATAATCAATAAATTGAACTGTGAAAGCATTTTCCTCAATATTTAAAATTTTAGCTCTATACCAAAGACCATCATTTTCATACTTTGCGGCAACTAGATCTCCGGGCATCATGGAAACCGACATTAAATCTTCATTTTCAAGAAGTTGAAGGCTTGCTGTTATATCTTGAATAGCCTGTTGATCATTTTTATTTTGTATATAAAAGTTCTTAAATGAATAAAAATATGAAATATAGGCATCCCAACATTTAACTTCCACAGTATTCAATTTAACACCTGTAAAATTAACATTCAAATCAATACAACTAAAAACCACGTTTACATTTAGTAATACTTAACCTAAAACATACATCAATTCGGGCATCAATTCCATTTTAGTCATTAAAATTAGTTTAAATTAATCAATACTATTTATACTGTGTAACAATATTGATTAATGACAATATATAAATCAACAATCATCACTTATTTGTACATTAATATTTCATAATAAATTGTACTTAATAAACTATAGTCTATAGGTAGGATTAATAGGTAATAACTAGATAAGTACCTAATTAATAGTAAAATCAGAGATGATTTATAAGTATAAAGGATAAAAATATATAAAGTAGAACTAGTAGAAGTAATAAGAAATATAAATAAATATTATTATCAAAAAAATAATGACAATTTAAGAGCAATTTATTATGTACCCGCCTACATATATTTTGAAAGTTCATAAAAAATACAAATATCGGTATAGGTATTAATTTTATTCTTTAGGTTCTAAAAGAATGTTTGAGGATTAGTTTTAACTATTCATTTGATTTTTAGGTACCTAATAGATGCTAATATATAATATATATATAGAAGAAAAAAATATTTTTAATTATAACAAATAAATACGATCTATCAATATGAAGTACCAAAGTAATATGGGTACAGTGGCGTGTTGACAATGTTTTTAAGGAGCGGCCGCTCCATCAATATTTTAAGGGTGGGTGGTTAATAATTAGATGGGTACTATTTTGCTTATACAGAGAATGGAATTGTAAATTGTGATCATCAATATACTAAATTGTCATGTCATAACTTATAGTGGTATACATGTATAATACGTATAACGTATTGGAACTACAGTACTACACTACTACGTAGTGTCGTAGTATGTGGTTTTTCTATATAATAAAGACGGTACGTAGTTCGAAACCTTTTCGTTATCAACAATCTACATTCCATGTGTAATGTCAGATATTTATACCACAATCATGATATAGACAGTAATATAGAAATCTGTTACGTATCAAAATGTTATCAGACAATCAATCCAGTAACTACTTTTAATTCTATTTTTAAAATACATGGAAGTGGGAATCCAAATTGTATTAAATATTATGTCAACAACTCTGTCGACAGCTTGCTACAGCCAGTACAGCCTACAAATGATAGATATTATTACTTATTAGTCATTAGACAATAGCCGTGGTTTCGGTAACCGTTATTAAATTGAAATATGATAATATTAAATAAAATAAAACAGCAAATGTCAATGTGTTCTAGTCTGCCCATGCCGATGTCTGTCGAGTCTGTGTAATTTGAATATTTGATCCTCGTTTCTTTTATAAATTATAATATACCCATAATGGGTATACTTACCTATATTTAGTAATTAATTAAATGAATATGTCATAATTTTTAAATAAAATAATAAATAATGTGCATAATATAGGTACTACAGAGGTAGGTATGTTTAAAATTTTCAATTCCTGGCTTAACCATCTTTTCAGTTATCCGTCAAGGCTCTAATATCGAGACTATAATCGAGTTAGTATTACCTATTGTATTTAGTAAAATGTTATATCTATATTTATACTTACACATGATTTAGCGTTATGATGATCTACGAAGGTTGTATCTGAATCTGATTTCCGATAATTACGACGACACGATTTTTACGTTTCACTAACTCTTAAACATGACACCAAAATATCATCACTAACTGGTGATGAGTTGTGAGTGTCAATTTTCGATGAATAAATTAACAAAATCCTTGATGCACATGGTCAGTTTTCGCGTCGTGCCATCACACACACACTAAAATAATTATAAGTTACCTAAAAGTATTATTATATAGGTATTGTCATTAAATATTAATATTAATAACTAATTCTGAGGACTGTATGTCTGTACAGCACTACAATTATATAGCACAGTCCCACGGTCTACGGCGCGTACTACTACACGGCACTACGGCAGTACACGCTAGTGAGAGCATGAATGGGGATTAGTGATTACATTAGGGGAATGGTAACAGGTAGGTAGTTACTTAATTAAATAGATATCCGCACCCTCCGCTCTTTACTTCGACAGGATTGCAGTTCTTCACTGCTTATTGGATGTCACTGGTAAACATAAATAACATGGACAAAAATCCACCAATCAGAAGTGGAGAACTAAGACAATCTTGGTCGTGGTGACGGAGATGCGCAGACAAAAGAAAATAAATTATTACAGCAATGATTATACCTAATACCTATCTATTTTTCATGATTAATACGGTATATTATTATCATTGGTAATAATATTTTAAATTCTAAAAATAGCTGTTAACGATCAACATTCAACACGATAATAGACTTATTGTTTATTACTTTTCGTTTTCAAAATGTATTAATATCAAGGTAATCTAATAGGCATATTCACCTAACATATTTTGTCTTTATACATTTTGTTGAAAATTCTTCAATCTTTGGCTCTTTTTATATTAGTATGGACGATGGGCATAACTGCATAAGTAATAAGCAGTGTCGTATTTCCCAGTAAACACTATAAACTAGTGCTTAGGGCGGCAAATAATTTTTAATATTACATTTTTACTACTGGAACTAGAACTAAAATAAAATGAAACTAATTATAAAATGTTTTTAGGCCAACGGGATTGTGGTAATATTTATATTTTATGTTTTCCAATTTCATAATCGTAGAGTTGTATGTTTTTATTGTTCATCATCAAAATTTTAAGTAAAAAATAAAAAACTATAATTGTATGCTTTAATAACATTTTTTAGACTAGAAAAATATTTATATTAAAAGGCGGCAAATTATTTATTGCTTAAAGCGGCACAATGGTTAAATCCGGCACTGGTAATAAGTATATACATCATATTTAGCGATGTAGACACCGCCGCGGCGCCGTGCCGGTGTAAATATAATAGGTTATTTTTTATCGATTTGTGTCGCTGGATTAAATACCTATATCTTTAATCGTGCTTATAAGTAAGTCGTGCACAAACAGGGGCGTCTCGTCAGGGGAGACTTTAAGACTGCGCTCCCCTAAAATAAATTCAGCTACGTGTAAATAATAATGTATGGAAACATTTTTATTTGAATTGAAAATATATATTATATCGTTTTCATTGTTTAATATTATAAATTGAAGGTCACAAAATCGAAAACCTATCTCGATATTATCTCGATGGAAATACTATTTTAGTTATTTATATAAAACTGAAGCCTTTTTTTTTTTTTTTTTTTTTTTTGGTATCGAGGACCGGAGAAG